TGACCATAGGGCTGGGACACACCGGGCTGGGACACCCCCCAAAGACACCGCACCGCAGCGCGCCGTGCAGAGACCTCTCCTTGGGCTGTCGCTGGGCGCACTGCCCGGTCTTCAGTCACCGTGAGCGGCGGTCAGAAAGATTTAACCTCCTGCCGCGCGCATTTCCATAGGTAGAGCACGAGCAGACGGGACTCCTCCGGACCCACGGAGTAGTATGTATCAGCATCACTGTCTGAATAGGCCGTGATGATGGTGGCGAAGAAGACAGAAAGATCCCTGTGTGCATTTCGAGACTGTACTGCAGTAGACGGGGGTTAGTCAGCGCCAGCTGACCCCGAGACACGTCCTGCATTCCTGACCCAGCCTAGCCCGACTGCAGCCTGGTGCTCTTCAGAAACCATCCGCCGCCTCGCTCATCGGACGGCGCTGTATCTGCTAACCATACAGCGGGCGACCCTGCTGTCAGTTACACGGATCGCAGCGCGGAGTCGAGAGTAGCACCGGTCGCGTTCCTCTGGGGTGACGCGTCCTCCGCTTTCGAAATAAAAACGACCTTGATTTTAACGAGCTGAGCCGAGACTAGCGCAGCGCTTCACTGCCGAGCCGGAGAGACAGATCTTGGAAGGCGGGTGGGTGAGGGAGGGGAGTCACACGGCGTCCCGGAGGAGCCTGTGCGCAGAGATCTATTTATATTGCAGTGGGGGACAAACAAGAATTGGACTAGAAAAGGGGGGAACGCAAAACACACGCACACACACACTGCCTGTTCGTGTCTGGCGTGTGATCCGGCTGCATCCCTCTCCCCGGCAGCGTGATGCCTCAGGAAGAGCCGAGCCGGCCGGTCACGAACCGGCCCGCCTGCGAGGCTTAAAATAACGACACCGGCGTCAAAGCGTGGGGGCGCCGGCCCCGCTAGCCCCCGTTGTCAAAGTCGTGGAGAGGAGGCGGACCCGTTTATTCCCGGGTTGAGCACAGCACAGGCACTCAGATCGCGCCCGGGAACCGAGCGAACAGGCTACAGTTCTCACGCTCTTGTTTTGTTCCCTGTACACACACGAACACAAACCGAGTTTAAAACAAGCCAACGGGCTACTTGTGTAGGGATCCCCCTCTGTTCACTCAACCGTCTCCGGAGAGAGGCTCTCAAAGCAGATTTCTTCCGCGACTGAGTGAGACCGAGACGGAAAAAAAAAGAAACTTTTTACGACTACGTGTTGACGTGGATCCGACCCCTAGTGAAATCGAAATGTTACGGCAAAAAAATGTTTAACCCCCGCGAGGAAGAGCCCGCAGCCGCCTGGTTTCACAGAGCGAGCCGAGGCAGGGGGCAAGAGGAGGAGGAGGAGGAGGAAGGCGGGCGGCGGCGGCGGCTCAGGCCGGTACTCACCTCTCCGGCGCAGGGGGGGCTGCGGGCTGGACAGACCCCCGCCGATGTGATAGGAGAACCGCATGGCCCTGAACTGGTTGGAGAAGGAGATCGGCGTTTCCGAGGGAGACCGCGGCGAACAGCTGACCAGGGCGCTGCGGGGTCTGTTCAGCTGCATCCCTGGTCTGTTCGGAAATAGATCCGTTCTTGTTCCTTTTTTTGGGGGGGGGCGCTGCACTCGTTCCAATAAACACGATAACCTCCCCCCCTCTCCACGGCTCCCCGCCGGGCCCTGAGAAATTGATCTGCGGTGCGGGCGGAAAGCAGCCCGGGAGAGACGTCAGGCGTCCTCCGCCACCGGGGCAGCGAACACAGGCACAGTGGGTCCAAGGATCAGTCCCGTCCCGGTACCGGGCCAGGGGAGTGCGCAGCCGGGGCTTTCTCGGGACCACAAACTCCATCCAAAAAGTCGATGCGGGTAACGAACGCCATTGGAATATCGAAGAGGATCCAAACCATCCAGAGTCGGTTTAACCGCAGCTGCCGCCTCCGGGGCGTCTCAAAACACACATCCCAAGTTCGGACCACGTCGAAACGCGGCGCGGCGTGAAAAGATCATTTCTGTGAAACGCGTTAGCGGCGTCCTCCCAGACCAAAACAATGCACGTAAAACAAAGTCACCCCCGGAGCGCCAGGAGAAACGTATCGCTAATTTCCGATAAGGATGTTTCCCTCTTCCACAAACAAAGCTTCGGAAGGCACATCTGGTCGTACTTTATATCCGAAAAGACGGCACGAAGCTCAGAACCCCCAAATAAAGAAACTCCCGACATTCGCACATGGCCAGTGCACTTTGAATTCTGAATCAGGCTTTTCAGGAACATAAACTATTTACATACATCCCCCCCCGCCACCGCCACTGACCACCGACCACCGAAACCCAATTTCCATCGGTCTTTCCGCGCGCGGCGGAAACAGCTCTGGTCCTGCGGTTTCGCTTCGCTGTCTCCTTGTAAAAGACTCCCGAGTTTCCAAAATGCCCTCGGGGAAGGCGCTACAACTCTAGGCGCAGGAGCCCCGATCTCCTCCGCAAACTTACGGAGCCGCAGTCGGAAGGACCCCCCCCGACAAACACGACCGCCTGTCCGACACGCCGGGGCGGGACGCCCGCGTTCACGGTGAGCTGCCGCCTCCTCCTCTCCAGTTTCCCGAGCGCGACCTGGCTCCGAGTTTCTCTCCCCCCGCCCCCCTCAGTCTTCCTTTCCAAAAAACCGTTTTCTACAAATATGCAGACTCAGCTGCTTGAGCGGGGGAGCGATCCTCGCTGGCCGTCTCTGCAGTTTCCTGGTTAAGTCTGGGTCCCCGCGGCGCGGCGCTCGCCCTCCTACGGGC